AATTCAAGTTTGCCCATTTTATTCTTAACATCAATGATTCGAAGAATTAGAAAAAGTATATATATATAGTTTATGCCCAGGTCGAAGCAACCGGTCCGGGAAACGGCCGGTTCCCGTGCATTCCCGCGATTTCACGGAAGCAGTATTCCGGACCGGGAAATCTCCGGATTTTTCCTGTAAGTTCCACCAAGACCTGTTGCTTCCCACCGAAAACCATCAGAAATCACCGGGAAAATCCGGAGAAATCCGTCCCGGAATACTGCTTCCAGGGTCCGGTGATATCCGGCGTTTTCCTGCACATTCCGGTGCGTTTTCTGCATGTTTCTGGCCGGTTCCAATTAAATCCGATCATTTCCGGAGGCCGAAAACATCGTCCTGGGTGATAGAAAATGTCACCTAAAAAATGAGAATAACGAATAATACTCAGCATTATCTGGTTTCTGGCATTCCACTCCTGCTCTTTTTCCTCTTTTCTTTCAAAAACTCCTCTTTTCAGCCTCTTTTTTGTGTACTCAAAAAATGAGTACACTCTAGATTCGGTCAGTGAGTCCGACTGTCCGGCTGTTAACACGATAACTCTTGAAAGCCTCATCCAATTGTCTTGAAATTTTGTATACAGAATGATCTCATCAATATTTCACTCGAGTTCGAAGATGAGAAGGATCCATCAAGAAATGGTTGAGTTATCGAAAATGTTGTCATTATTGACCAGACCATCCCGGAGGGGGGGGGACAACAATTCACTGATCTTGTCTTGATGTTTTTTATATTATGTATGTTTATTTCTCCTCTGTGTTGTTCCCTCTTGTTGCTTATTGTCGCATTTGTTTTTTTCAACATTGGCACCTTTTTCGTTTTTTCGCGCTTAGACTCAAAGAAATGAGATATACTAATTCTTCTTTTTCTTCTCTGACTACTACTTTTCTTCTTTGATCAATTACATATTACCTTTTTCTTTTCAACTTGATTGTTCTTTACAACCAATCTAACTCGATTGCTCCTTACAATCGTTCGAACTCGTGTCAGCTATTTGCTTATGGAGTTCTTCTTATTCTCAACTATTTCTGTTCATTGAATGAACAATTGGATCCTCTTCCAATATTCAATACTATTTAATTTTCAGTGTTGTCATTCTGCCATAACCTATACGGTGACACCTGGCATTATTATTAGTTGCGTCTCTGATCCTCATCAAGGCGTTACAGGGGAGATACAAGGATTTTTTCAAAAAAAATGTTTTTTTCTCAGAATTATTCAAAACATATATAAATGGCTCAGTTTTTGCAGTACACGTAACAATCGGATGCGAATTCGATATTTCCTCATTTATTAAAAATTATTCTCTCTTTCCTCTTTTTTTCTGAAAAATTAAGGTTAAAAGAAAAATACTTAATATTGATGAGTTTTTCACCATCATTCGTTTCAGGCGTCGTTATGGACATCGATTCGTTTCGTATTGCTCTTTTCTGTCGCGACAAGATGATAGATCTATGAGTACTATAAATGTAACTAGACTAAAACCTCCTATAATGCACACCTTCGTGTCCTGAACATCTCATGTGGTTTGGCAAAGCAATTTTTGTTAAAGTGAAGTTCTGTATAGTGAGCACTAATTACCTCGGTCGAAGAAAACGATCAGTAAACAATTGTATACGATACAAATACGGTCCGTTTTACGTGCCGTATTTTCCCCGCATAACAGGGGCAGTAATACGGCCGTATGTTCTATAGAATACGATAATATTACGCCGGCTTTACGAGGTTTTACGGCTGATATATGGTGCCCGTGTATGGCCGTAATACTGCCCCTGTTAAAACGCCTTAATTCGGCTTAAAACGGCCGTTTTATGACGAAATACGATGCAAAAACGACCGTTTACGGTAATGTTACGCCGGTTTACGGTGGTCCGTTTTGATCGACCTGGGTATGGCTTAAAAGAAACTATCGGATGACTATAAAAGATCATACAACGTGATGATTCTTCTTTATTTATAAGACAGCGAAATGAGAAAAAAAAGATAATGTTTAGTGGTGAAAAAGACGCCCATTCTGTTGAATAGACGACACAAGTATGTATATATATGATCACATTGTAACATTTGCGTCACTTTCGCCTATATTTATTAAATGTCTGACTCATAGGCGGCGAAGCGATTTCAATCTAGGGTAGGCTCAATTTTCCAGCGAAATGATGCCAGGAAAATAGTGGGAAAATGACGCTCATCATACTTTTTCAATGTTAGATGCGCCATACGCCTTCTTGCTAGATTTTGATTCTGTATAAGTGTGATAACTTTATAGTGCTTTATTTTTTTGAGATAAAACAAGAAATAACGAAGTATCACAGAACAACTACTTAAAAAATAAAACGAGTCTAAAACATAATAAAATCATACAGCACCAAAAAATGTTTTTCTATTTTCATTCTTTGAAATAAAATCAGAACAGACTCTTTAAATCAAGTAAATCTAATTTATCTTTGTGAATGTGAGGAATAATAACGTGATTTAAACGTTGTTGGCTCATTGTGCAGCGTAAATACGTTTTTATTCTATTAAGAACACTGAACGATCTTTCGGCAGTGGCTGTTGTTACAGATACTGTCAAATATAATGTTATGTAATAATGCGCCATCTGTCATGACAACAAAAACTGAACTATAAGAAGATACGTTTACATATAATAGAGCCTACTCAAGCGTTTAATCCTTATAGTTTGAGCCAATCCAAGCCTACCCACTTTTATTTTAGGGTAGGCTAGCGTTACCCACACCTAATGGCTCTGCCGCCTATGGTCTGACTATAAAACAATGAAAAACTCAAAAATAATTAAAATGCTCTGAAGAATAACTCACAAGTTACCTTTTCAATATCGGCAACAACATCTTCCACGTCGTCTACACATACTATTCAGCTAATTGATCCTAATAAACCTTTGTTATTCGATGATCAAGTATCACAAACTGAAATTTCATGGGCGCTGAAGTCGGTTCAAAATGCATCTTTCTAAGTAGACATTAAATAGAACTGGTAGGTTATCGACTGCATGCCATTTTTGGTTCAGCACGAATATTTCTTGTAGAGTCGAAGGCTGAAAAAAAGCCTCTTTTTTTCTAAAATGTTTGGTGGAATGCCAGACTGATTTTATAACAGCTCGTTTAGTTCGTAGTAATAGATAGATGAAAACTTTTTCTGATGAAATTATTAAAGTAATTCTGTTTGTGACTAATTTTCTAAATAAAAGACAAAATATTTGCTGAAGATTATAATGAAATTCATATTAATTATTTCGATACTTAAAAAGATTTTGCTCAAGTGTTGATTGAACTATTAAAATAATTTGGCTTGTCCACGTAACTGTTACCTTCGCTACGGAAGTTTTCGAAAGTTTTTTTTTCGATATGGGCTGATTTCGGCACATTCTTCGATGTAGTTTTTTGCGCTGATTACGAATTTATCTTTTTTTTTTTAAATCACTTTTTTTGCAACGAAAATCATGTTTTTAGCTTTTTAAAAATCGTATTTTGAACTTTTTAAGCTAACATTTTTTTCGAAAAGTTCTAATTATTACATCGTTCGATGCAGAATTGTAGTCTCTACAAAATGAGCTGCTTATGTTTAACGTTCACCCCCGGAGGCCACTTTTACATTGTTGTAGAATTTTCAACTTCCCATACTAATAACGAGCTTCTGCTTCATCATAGGAACTTGAATTTTTGTACAGTGGTTATATGTACAGAAAAGACCAAGCGCTATAAAAATCAAATAGATCTGAGTAAGTTAAGTGACCCGAAATTGATCGACAAAAAAAGGTGTCACAGCGTTACGAAAAATGTCAGTGTTACGAAAAATGTCGCAGTGTTACGAAAAATATCACAGTGTTACGTTGTTTTTTTTAATTTTTTCTTTGAATAATCAGAGCTAGGAAAACACTTTTTTTTACCATTGAAAAGCTCTTTTCATGCTCTACAAAGTTAGTTCCAGGCCTATTTTAATAGGAGATCATCGTTCGCAGGGAATTAAACGATAAGTGAAAGCGTTGAAAATTCAGGGGCCTTTTACGTCACAGTGTTACGTGACTATAAATCATTTCTGTAAACTATAGAATTCAAGCAAAAGATATCAAATTTATATTGCATATAGAACTCGTCGAGCTGCGTCGAATGGCGTTTGAATAAACTTTCCAACTATCATAGTTTTTGAGATATTTTTAAAACAATTTGCCAAAACGTCACAGCTTTACGCTTGGACAAGTCGTTTACTTCAACAAGATGTTTTTAGTTTTTTAAATAAATTTTTGATTAACAGATTAATCATCCATAACATCGTCGTGAATTTATAAATAATCTTTTGCAGCGCATTGTTAATGTTTCCGAATGGTCTCGAACGGTTTCATATTATTCTAATATCTATTTATAGAAACCCTATTGGTTTAAAGTGATTTGAAATACTTGAAGGTCTCTTAATTGATTCGATTGGTTCGATTCCCTATAAATGACTTGAATATCTTAGTCAGTTGTTTTTAATGATCCATGCATTTATACTATGTTTTTTCTTTCCTATCAACGTTCTTCTTGTAACAACGAAATATTTGGTTTTGACTCTGAATAAGAACTAAAATATTCTAGTTTTAGTGACTTTTTTTTGTTTTTATAAAATATACAATATGATCAAGTAAAACATAATAATGAATTTTACTTGTTCGTTGTTTATTTGCAATTTTAGTCAATTTGCAACATCAATTCAATATATATATATACACCGTATATTCTTGTAATGTCATTACGAAAATTTCATTAACTATTTCAAATCCTAATGGAACATTCTCAATGTCATTATGATCATATCTTATATCAATTTTATGATTCGCACTTGTTCATATCATATTCATCATTATTTAGCCACTGTTCGAAAGTGTACAGACGAAGAAGAAGAAAAATTAAATTAAAAGAAAGAAAAGGAAGGTAAAAAATACAACTAGTTTATAAAATAACAAATTGTTAACATGTTTCAACAACATATGCTGTTAATTGTTGTTCTTCGACATTATTTTGTACAAGTACAGAAGATTCTGTTGTGTCTTTTAATGGGTTAATATTGCTATTATTGTTATTATTATTATATTCATCTATTGTTGTTGGAGTTGCATCGGAACTATTAATCGGTGGTAATATTTCAATAGACGAATAGTTTTTTTCGTTCGATATCGATTGACGAACTGATGGTAAATTTGTAGCCAATCCTAATGATTGATTTGCCATTGATGTGACTGTCGATGAAGGTAAATGTTGAAAACAATATACAGCTGCTGAAGCACGTCGACAAGTTGCTGTTCGATTATTGTCAAAGTTTGATTTATAACAAACTGTTTGTTGCTGTCGTAAATTACGATCAAATGACGATGATTTCGATGAATGAGAATAAGTGCGAGATTTTCTAGGTGAAGTATTGTAATTAGTATTATTATTACTAGTTGTATTTGTACTTGATTTACGAATTGTTGAACGACGCGATGCTATATCAGCATTTAATGAATATAATGAATGTTTATGTGACAAGTCAATTGAAAATCCACAGCAATTAAAAAGAGAGGATTTTTGTGAAGATTTGCTTGGATAAGTATTACTGCTGTTTGGCTGAGTTAAATAATTCGAACGAGTTTGTACATGAGTTCCCAATGGACAATATGATGTAACCCCTGTTGCTGTTCCTGCTGAACGTTCTGTATCTTCGTCATCATCATCGAATAGATATGAATGAGTATGCATTTTTGATCCTTGACGACGAGACTTAACTCTTTGAAATCGCCAAAATAAACCTTCCCAAAGTAATTTTCGTATTTCACAACGTGATGTTCGACCGCTAAAAACAAAACAAAGAAAGAAAAATGACTTGAAAAAAATAATGATGATTGATTAAGAGGCTTTTCTAATGATTAAATAATATATTTGTCCGTACCTCATGATGGCAAACATAAGATTAAGCGAATAATTACTCATTTCAAGAACACGAAATACAGTATTAAGATTGACATATATGTATAATGGCATCAATGGTGCTTTACTAATGCTAGTTGCAAATGCATTAACCATTGTTAAAATATATCTTGGAGATATTGTAAAAATAACAAAAAATGATGAAAGTACAAGTTGTATAGTTTTTTCCTTGAATTGTTTTTCTCTTTTTAAAACATGCCGTGTATCAATCGAACCAATTTTTGATAAAATAACACGTTGTCGCGATAAACTATATAAAATTAACCAATTAATAACAAGTAATAGAATCGATGGTATAATCGAATGGAAAAATATTGTATTAAATGTGAAATAATGTTTTTTCCATTGATCGAATCTACTTCTCGTTGACTGACCTCCAGTATGCCATATACACATAAATGTATGTATTGAAAGATTTTCGTAAGCATGTAGAAAAAAATTCGGTAATAGATAAATAAGATTGGCAGCAAAGACAAGACAAAGGACAATAATAAGAACTATTTTTGATATTGATATTGTAAAGCATAAGCGACCTTTTATTGGAAACCATATTATAATACATTTTTCTACAGCCAATGCAACTGTTAACCAAATACTAGCCTGAAGAAAAAAATCAATTAACAAGATTGATTAATGTCTGAATATGTATGTTTGTTCAATAATATTTTCGTCTAAGATTACATGTGAGAACAGTTGTTGATGGGATGTATTTCATCGTGAATATTGCTCTTCTTTGTTTTTTCCTTCTTCTTCTTCTTCTTCTTCTTCTTCTTCTTCTTCTAATATTCAAATTTTTTTACAGTGAGAGATATTTATTTATATTTTTATGATTTGATTTGATTTAGACAAATGTTAATGAGGAAAGATTACTTTAATTATAAAAATAAACTCAACCCCAGAATAGAAAGCAAATCTTCACGATATTTTAAGAAAAAAAAGAAACTTAATGTCGCCTTTCATTTTTTCGTGCATGATCAATTCTTTTCATTTCTATTCTCAATTAAAAATGAAGTTCATTAAATTTTCTCAAAATATCTCTACAAAAAAACACGAAACAGATAGAAGTATGTAATAATTTCATTAATTATATATCTGATCTGCTGACTGTGATTATCTTACATAAAACTTGATTACTTCGAAAAATAATCGTATAACGTCATTAAAAAATAAAATTACCTGTCCAGTAAACATTATAGTAAAAAATATCCAACGACATAATGGTAGCGTTACCCTTAAGTAACCTTTATCAAATAAAATAAATATTAAAAATTCTAATAATCGTATAGTATCGAGAATGGCTATAATTGAAAAATAAAGTTGAAATGTTGTATGACGAAAACTTCGTGATGCTCGAAAATATAGTAAACTTAAACAATTAAATGTAAGACCAAATAGGAATAGTAGACTTCCAATACCAATTTGAATATATGTATTGAATGCGTCAATTAAAACTTGTTCACGATATGGTATTCTACTAGTTGTAGCTCGATTAACAATAGTAGAAGTAAACAATATCGACCGATCGGTGCTCAACAATGATTCATTCATTTCATATAATGCTCATTGGAATATCTACAAAAAATAAAAGTCAACATACGACTACTTAGATAATTCGATGGCATGTAACAATGTCTAGCATAGATCATTGATTTAAACTACTCAGGGAGCTAACAATGGTATAGTGAAAATTCTTTCTTTTTCCTCAGGATGTAATCAAAAATACACTAATCTGTGTAAAAACGTCGAAGGCGAATGTAAAAGAAAATATTAATATATGTGGATGTTAGCGTCATTTGAACGGCAAAATAAAACTATATATAGTTTCATTGCTATTTCCTCAAGAGAATAAGCTTTAGTAGTTATTGTAACAACGAACAAAAGAAGTGTTTATGAATTACACTGTGCACACTGAAAGAACAAGAAATGGTGAGAAAATAGCAAAAAATATAAATGCACACAATACCAATTCATCAATCACATTTTTTTCTTCTTTTTCTTTAGAAAACACAGATAGATAAAGCACTTATATATAAAAAGAATAACACAAAGAGAGACAGAAAAAAAAACATCCATTGATATAATGTACGTTACTCTTCTTCGGTGTTTTTTTTTTCTTTTTTGCATGCATGTATGTATACATATCTGATGATTGACAGTTATGATTTGATTATTATCGTTTATATACTAATCACATATATTCTTCATATTTTTATCCATTTTCAAAACTTGCATACCTTTATATGTATCTTCATTGATATTTTGGGATCTTACCTATGTCATTTTTTATTTTCTACCACATCAAAACGTATTGTCAAACATGTGAGCATCATTCATCCGTTTTTATTCTACAACTTGATTTTTTTGAAGACGATTGAGGCAATAAAGCGACATCCTGACCTATTAAATGCATCTATCAGACTTAGACTCATATAATAATGTCAATTTTTTAGAAACATAGAAACGATGAATGAAAAAAACCTATATTGAATCTATCACTACAACGACAGCACAGTATGACTTTTACAAAAGCATCGCGTGAATACAATTCTTTTCTTGATCGTCTCTTTTCAATAGATATTAAAAAAACAGGCAAAGAAAAATGACTTACTAACAAAAGAAAGTAAGATGTACATGTATGTCTATATATATATATATGCGTATGCATAAGGTGACGTTGGACATAAATGTGATTGAATTTTCCTAGAAATATTCTCTCATTTTCTTCAATAACTTTTTTCTCTAGTCTTAAAAAGATTTAATTTACATAGAAATATATATATAATGTGTAGAAGTGTACCTTCAACATACCTGATTTCGTATTGGATGTTATCCTCAAATTCAATAAAAAGAAGAGATATAAATAGATACGAAATGTCTCAAACAATCATGTTCGTAACATAATATTTTTCCTGGCTTACTGATCGGTCGGTTTATTGAATAGCGTTTCTTGTTCAGAGCTGTCTGTAATTAAGCTAAATATAAGATGAACTCTATTCTAATCCAAAACAAAAGAATATCGCATGGTTAAAACAGCATAGCATGATTATTAATCAGAGATTATTTGAATCAGAAAAAATCTTTAATATATAACTTGAGTAACTGATTTAGACATAAAATTTTATTTTCATAGTTGGTTAGTCTAGACAACTTATTTTGTCGTAAAGAAAATTAAAGAAAAATAATTCTACAAACTCGTACTTATCTTTGTTTATAAATTTGTGAAAATTCATTATTCATTTTGTAGGTGCATACTCACCAATGAATAAGTAATGAAAATACAATCATGAAGAATGAAAAAAATGACAAATCACAAGAATAATTACATTCATCGTCTATGGAACACGACATGGATTTTATGAAAATATTATTGTCATTATTTTCCTTCCCTACCAGTGCAGACTTCCGTAAATAAAAACATTTTTTCCTAATAAATTTCGTAGTTCTGACGTACTTGACATTTTCTAGCGAAACAAGAAATAAGTTTACTGATTAGAAAAGTTCTTTCATTTTCCGTATATGTAGAAGCTGACTTTTCCTTGTGTTCCTTACTTCATGATAAACAAGTATTCATTTCCGTTTCTTGTTTTTTTTTTATTTCAAATAATCATGGCACGTACGGAATACTAATAATACTAATAACAATAATAATAACAATAATAATAATAATAATAATGATAATAATAATAGTAATAATAGTAACAAGAATACGGATGAAGAACATATTCCAAAGATTTTCCTCGTACTTTCTTTTTGTTTTTGAATATCTTAAGATTGAAAAGAATATAATTATTTAACACGAATGTTCTTCAAACATAAAATAGCGTTATTGAATCTCTGTCGATCTTTATTTTTCGCCTATATTCCAATTACTACTGAATAAAAATACAAGATATTATATTGATTCCTATGTAATAATAGGTTCAATTGAAAATGTCAAAAACTATTATTATTTCTCTACTATTTATATAAGTTTTAAATGCTCAATTTTCTGTTACTTCGCGCAGTATGTTTTCTTTATTAAAAAAACGGAGCCTAACTAAATTATAAATATATAAGTGATTTTTTCGTAAGTCACGAAACATGATGATCTATACCATTTTTTTTGATCATGCTGTCCTTAGATATTGCTTTTTTTTTTGTTAATGCCTTCAAAATACTCACTTCGTTTATGCAATAAATGAATCATTGTAATAGTTTATCATCGCGACGATATAAATGTCGGATATAAATAGACTTATTATTTTTCTTTCTAGAAAACAAAAATCAACGAAACATTTTTTCCATATGCGCCGTGTCTAGCTAAAGAGAAATATTTAGTTTTGATTGATGTAACAAAAAAAAACTAAGCATAAGAGGAATGTAATAATAAATAAAAGAAATAGGGAAAAAGAATGTCATAGTTTCTTCTTTTCATTATGGGACAAAGTAAATGTATATGTATGTAAAAAGTTCTCATAGAAGAAATTAAGAGAAAACGAATAGAAAGAAAAAGAAAGTACGATGATGGTGAGGCTAGATAACAAGCTATATACACGTCAGACACAATTATTTAGGAAAAGCAAACAAACAATATTGATCGAAAAGAACTCACGCACATTTATTGACTATAACTATGGCTACTTTTTCATTAGCCGTTGATTGGGTCTTCTACAACGCCTACTTTCGATGAGAATAATCTACTCGCTGTGTTTATGAATAATAAGCAAAGCAGATAAAAGCCTACTACATCTTAACTATATATATATATATCGTTTTCTATTCACTCTTACTAGATAACAACCGAGTTCAGTTTTTGTTTTTATCCAGTTTTTGTGTCTTCTCTTGTTCTCTATATTCTTTTGTTTTATTAGAAAAAACGGCTGAGAATTATTAACTTAAGATTATACCAACTGCATACATTTCTCCAGATATGTACATATATACATAATATATATATATATAAATGAGCACAACATGAAAAAATAATATTCTTGTTCTTCTTCTTTTTCATATCGTGCATGTGTTCACATGATTGTTCAAGATGTGACTACTAGGCATACATCATTATGAAATAACATAGACAATATGGAGTAAATGATGAACATGTTTTTCTTTTTGTGAAAAATCACACATCACCGTTATCATCCATTAGTCAATGTCGTTTACCGATCAATTGCCTTTTGCTTTCCTAATCATAGCTACACGCGCGAACATCAATCCTTACAGACGTATGATAAAATAATGTGAATAAAAGGTTCGAGTAACATAACATCAAAGAAGAAGTGTTATAACAACAATATGGCTAACAATAAATGAATTGCGACATGCACATCCGGACACGATCATATTACCTAATTGATCATACATACATACATATATACATATATATATATATATATATATATATATATATACAAATGCATGACCATATACAATAAAACAACAGATGAACTGTTTGATGATGTGTCACAATCGATTGTTGCATTGACAAATGAAATTTTAACATAGTAGTGATGACGATGATGATGATCATAATTACAATAATAGTAATACGTCTGTGTAGAAGCGTTACATGTGTAATCAATAATCAGAGGAAACAAAATATAGTGGGAAGTCAAGAGTTTTCTACTAACTTCTTTTTTGTAAAGAAAAAGGAAAGAAAAAAAAATACAAGTATAATTGAGTAGATATGAACGGCTGATGTGTGTGTGTGTGTGTGATGAGTTGGCTCGAGGCATATGTGACAAAATCAATGTTAACAAACTGAATAGTGTGTAGTACTTCATTCATTCGATTTATCTATCGATTACCTCATTTTTCTCTTGCTGCATCGTCATGACTTGGGATCATACTAGTATAATTCGTCGTTTTCAAAAGTCACTTTTTCATAATTTGATAACTCGTATTCATTGCATATTAAGAGAAGATATACGTAAGTACTATCCGAAAACAAGCAACACAAAAAAAAATCTTAAATCAAGAAGAAAATGAATTGATAATTGATATAAAAATCTAAAGAAAAAGAAGGAAAAAAATATTCTAATGACTTTTGACATACCTGATATTGTAAAATAAATAGTTCTATCTTACTAGAGCAGTTACATATGAAATGACAGACGATGATCGATTCGTCTGGGCAAAGACAACGAATATATTGTGTCTGGCCCATCACTGTCATCATGCATTGTCAGTTGCATTTTTCTCATTGACAGTTCCTGTTTGTGAGAATAGATGTTGATATATTAAAACGGAACGAATGCCACTGATAACCTTGCGTCAAGGTTGATCCACACAATGACATTCTTTCTTTCTTTTTTTGCCTTGTTTCCTTCTCTGTTTCATTATAACACGCCTATTGTCTGGTACTATTCCGGCCTGGCTTTGAAGGAGAGATAGACGGCGTATGCATTAATGTTCAATATTGTAAACTAAGATATGACAGACAAAGCCTGTATAGCGTAAGAGGTTCTCTTTCGCTTTTAGTTTTCTTGTTCTTGTTCTTGTTCTTCTTTTCTATGCCTGTGTTTGCATATGTGCGATTGTATCACACAAGCCGCTAATAACCCTAA